AGAAAGGCAAGCTTTTTCAATTTTCAAAACTATGGAATCTTTTAGAGTGAAAAAACATGGAACATGAATTTATTTTTAATTTTGGTACGCATTAATGCTTATAAAAAAAATATTTAAAATGCCTTAAACCTTATTTTATAAGTATAAATTATATGAAAAAAGGAATGAATGAATAAAAAAAATTAAAATCAGCAAAATGATTTTGAGACAGGGTAGAGAACTACTTCGGCATAATCGCCCATTTCGGGCCTATCGTGCAGACAACACAAAATAATTCCATGATTTCTGAGTTAACAAGTCAATTATGAGTTTGGTACGATACTGTAGTTAATAAGCTACCAAATGAAGTCAATCAGAAGGCGTGATATGAAGGTTTGCACCCATTATTCCCAAAAACAAAAGAAGCGCTCTGACCGAATCAATTTTTATCTTCATTCGATAGGCCGAAGTGAATTTATTTGCGTTTCAATGGCGTTCAAATGCGTTAGGCCGAGTTTAGAATCCGAAGGCCGAGTTTGGCGTCAAGAAGCAGTATTAGACTTTTGACAATATCTCAACGATTGGTTCCTCTTTATCAAATCTTACGGTGCGTACAGAAAGGCAAATAAATTTGGAAGCCATCAGTAATAATAACATTACGTTTGGTGCTAAACTGCGCTAGATTAAGAAATACTAAGTGCGGGTTGTGCTTAATAGGCCGAAAATGGGGTAGTTAACCCTACTTAGGTTTTAACACTTTTAATGCAAATCGGAGAAGTCATTTGGCGGCTCCATTACAGGACTGTTGTTGAAGTGAAAAGATGTACTGTAGCACCTTTGTCACTTTCGCTAATGCGTCATTTCTCTTCTATTCCCCAGTTGATTCAAAATGCCGAACCTATTACAAGACGGAACATATGAAAGAAAAATCCAATCAGGCTACCACGGCGAAGTATTCCAAAAACAAGTTGCAGTCGCCTTTTTTCTACGGATGCGGAGAGACAGTTTCAATGTCAGATTGGCATATGAAATGTCACAAGCCGACAAGTACGATGACGTAGTGATCATTGACGATGAACGTGAGGTTTTACACTTCATCCAGGTGAAGCACGCCGTTACCAAAGATGGCAAGGTAAATGTTATCGATTTAAATGCACTATTTCCGACCGTGGAAAAAGATCAATACAACGGAGACTTCAGTATTTACAAGTACCTGGAATCCTATTTGAAAGTTGTTGAAAACTTTAAGAAAGACCAATACAAAAAGCAGTTCTATATATTTACTAATAAGGATTTAAACATCTCCGATGTTGATTGGGTGAGGACTGTTGAGGTAGAAGTAGATGAAATCCTACGATTTCCTGGATCCAAGGCCCGACACCTGAAACTGGATCCAACCGAAAAAGCTATTAAGGAGTTGAGCAATTTTATCAACAAAGATTTCGAAAACCTTAAAAAGGCAATCAAAGAGCTTTTCAACAATGGAACCGTCAGTAACATTTTAGAAACCTATAGTACTCCTCTGAAAGACGTTTTAACAATAAAAAAGAAGCAATGCAGTTTTTTAGATAGCTTCAACTCGGAAAGCGAACAATTCAATGTTGCCAAGTTGTTTAAAGTTCTGGAAAAAGATAAGCTTGATATGAAGAAGACAATAACAGTGAATAACTTTTTACTAAGAAACTCAAGGGTGAAACATTTGCCACGTTATTTTAGTGAGGAGGAAATTGTGGCATTCTTCAACGACTTTTCTCTATTGGTGAGTCAACCAAATGATTTGTATCCAATTATTGAAAGCGAGCTGTGGACGTGGTGTAAATCGTGGATCTGTCCAGAAATTCTCAGAAAATTGAGAGAAATCGATCTGATATTTAGAGATCTGATATTAAAATTTGACCAACTCAATAAACCTAAAAAGAATAAAATGAAGGCAATGTTGAAAAAAAGTGATGTACTAAACTGTCTTAGTGAAATTCAGAATGATAACGATAAACTTGAAGGTAAGGAAGCAAAACAATTGCAAAAATATTACATCAATCGCCGTATTATATACAAATATAGTAAACCGACCAATGACGAAAATGTCATTGAAGTTGAGAAAACAGGTATGGAAGAGGCGAAGATGAACCAGCGTCTGGCTGCAAATCTCCTTAATAAAGACAACCAACCAGGTATGGAAAGCAACATTGAAGAACTTTCACGACAGATGAGTGACGCTCAGTTTGTTGAAGAGCTTGGGCAAACATTTGAAGACCATCAGATCATCGTACTTCTGGCAGACCCCGGAATGGGGAAGACTAGCTTGCTTCAGTTTGTAGCCTTTGAAGTGCAGAAGCAAAATGTCGTTCATGTACTGTTAGTGTATTTAAGCGAGTTGGTGATGGAGCTCGAAAAAGTAGAACACATTTCAGAGTTGAAGGTGCTTAATGTCCTCAAAGTGATCCTTTCAGAGCAAAATTGCGATCTCATTGAAAATTCCCCACATGAAAGGGATGACAGAGGCTATTCTATTCTTATAGTCATGGATGGCTTCGACGAGATCCACTCCAAGTACACCGACAAGGTGATTGAGATGCTGGAACAACTCAAGTTGAAAAAGAGCATTCGAATCATCATCAGCGCCAGAAAACACATGCAAGTATTATTAGAGAGTAAATTTAATGTAAGATCTATGTTTTTGGAGCCGTTTAATGTGGAAGATCAAATCAACTATTTCAGAAAGATGTGGCACGAACCAGATCTAGATGAACATTGCTTTGAAAGCTACTCGAATCATATTTTAAACACATTTAAATCAAATATCCCTTCAAATTTAGGCGAAATTTGTGGTGCGCCACTCATGGTAAAAATGCTGGCGGAGGTTTATTTAGAAAAATTTAGAAATTACCATTCATTGAAGAAACAGAATACCAATCAGCTCGTTGATCTGACTAAAGAAAAAATGAATATTGCACAGCTATACAAAGAGTTTATAAGAAGATGTTTTCACAAAAAATTTATGGAAAAATTTAAGCCCAAATTTGATCTGAGCGACGCTGAATTGGATTGGTTGATGGGTGATTTTATTTTGAAGCATCAGTTATTAGCTATGGAGCTGCTAAACATTGAATTACGTAAGGAATTGTTTAAAAATCAATATTATAGAGACATACACGATCAATTTAAAAACCGATGCGAACAGGAATCAGATTCATCACAACTGGTTCATGTAGTCCAGCAGAAGGTTGATTTTTGCCATCGGTCTTACAGTGAATACTTTGTGGCAATATATCTATGCGACAACATTTTTACGTTGTCAGGAGAAATTGTCATACACATTTTGTCCACATATATTGTTGTTCGAAGATTTTCTATGACCAAGATGGAAGGAAACCAGGTATATCTCAAGATCTTGAATAGTCTGTGTAAAATAAGCTGGGAGATTGCACTGTGGGCATGTGAGTGTGACTGTTTGAGTATCATTTCCTCTTTAGAAGGACATTTTAAATCATTCTCAACAAGCAACCTAAAGGATATGATACTGGTTGCTGCGGAACGTGGGTTTGTTGGAATATGCGAATTCTTAATAAACAATAATGCTGACGTGAATGCAGCGGATGAAGATCAAAGGACTACTCTTTATTATGCAGCTCGAAATGGACACGACCAGTTGATCAAACTGTTGATTGGCAAAGGATCCACTGTTAACACTTGTTCAACTACCGGTGTAACTCCACTTCATATCGCAGCATTCAATGGTCATAAAAACGTTGCAGAACTCTTGATATCAAACAATGCTGACGTGAATGCAGTGGATGAAAAACAATGGACTGCTATTCATTTTGCAGCTCAAAATGGACACGATCAGTTGATCCAACTGTTGATTGACAAAGGATCAACTGTTAACACTTGTTCAACTACCGGTGTAACTCCACTTCATACCGCAGCATTAAATGGTCATAAAAACGTTGCAGAACTCTTGATATCAAACAATGCGGACGTGAATGCAGTGGATGAGGATCAATGGACTGCTATTCATTTTGCAGCTCAAAATGGACACGATCAGTTGATCCAACTGTTGATTGACCAAGGATCCACTGTTAACACTTGTTCAACTACCGGTAGAACTCCACTTCATACCGCAGTATTCAATGGTCATAAGAACGTTGCAGAACTCTTGATATCAAACAATGCTGACGTGAATGCAGTGGATGAAAAACAATGGACTGCTATTCATTTTGCAGCTCAAAATGGACACGATCAGTTGATCCAACTGTTGATTGACAAAGGATCAACTGTTAACACTTGTTCAACTACCGGTGTAACTCCACTTCATACCGCAGCATTAAATGGTCATAAAAACGTTGCAGAACTCTTGATATCAAACAATGCTGACGTGAATGCAGTGGATGAAAAACAATGGACTGCTATTCATTTTGCAGCTCAAAATGGACACGATCAGTTGATCCAACTGTTGATTGACAAAGGATCAACTGTTAACACTTGTTCAACTACCGGTGTAACTCCACTTCATACCGCAGCATTAAATGGTCATAAAAACGTTGCAGAACTCTTGATATCAAACAATGCTGACGTGAATGCAGTGGATGAAAAACAATGGACTGCTATTCATTTTGCAGCTCAAAATGGACACGATCAGTTGATCCAACTGTTGATTGACAAAGGATCAACTGTTAACACTTGTTCAACTACCGGTGTAACTCCACTTCATACCGCAGCATTAAATGGTCATAAAAACGTTGCAGAACTCTTGATATCAAACAATGCGGACGTGAATGCAGTGGATGAGGATCAATGGACTGCTATTCATTTTGCAGCTCAAAATGGACACGATCAGTTGATCCAACTGTTGATTGACCAAGGATCCACTGTTAACACTTGTTCAACTACCGGTAGAACTCCACTTCATACCGCAGTATTCAATGGTCATAAGAACGTTGCAGAACTCTTGATATCAAACAATGCTGACGTGAATGCAGTGGATGAAAAACAATGGACTGCTATTCATTTTGCAGCTCAAAATGGACACGATCAGTTGATCCAACTGTTGATTGACAAAGGATCAACTGTTAACACTTGTTCAACTACCGGTGTAACTCCACTTCATACCGCAGCATTAAATGGTCATAAAAACGTTGCAGAGCTCTTGATATCAAACAATGCGGACGTGAATGCAGTGGATGAGGATCAATGGACTGCTATTCATTTTGCAGCTCAAAATGGACACGATCAGTTGATCCAACTGTTGATTGACCAAGGATCCACTGTTAACACTTGTTCAACTACCGGTTATACTGCACTTCATATCGCAGCATCAAATGGTCATAAGAACGTTGCAGAACTCTTGATATCAAACAATTTAGACGTGAATGCAGTGGATGAAAAACAATGGACTGCTATTCATTTTGCAGCTCAAAATGGACACGATCAGTTGATCCAACTGTTGATTGACAAAGGATCAACTGTTAACACTTGTTCAACTACCGGTGTAACTCCACTTCATACCGCAGCATTAAATGGTCATAAAAACGTTGCAGAACTCTTGATATCAAACAATGCTGACGTGAATGCAGTGGATGAAAAACAATGGACTGCTATTCATTTTGCAGCTCAAAATGGACACGATCAGTTGATCCAACTGTTGATTGACAAAGGATCAACTGTTAACACTTGTTCAACTACCGGTGTAACTCCACTTCATACCGCAGCATTAAATGGTCATAAAAACGTTGCAGAACTCTTGATATCAAACAATGCGGACGTGAATGCAGTGGATGAGGATCAATGGACTGCTATTCATTTTGCAGCTCAAAATGGACACGATCAGTTGATCCAACTGTTGATTGACCAAGGATCCACTGTTAACACTTGTTCAACTACCGGTAGAACTCCACTTCATACCGCAGTATTCAATGGTCATAAGAACGTTGCAGAACTCTTGATATCAAACAATGCTGACGTGAATGCAGTGGATGAAAAACAATGGACTGCTATTCATTTTGCAGCTCAAAATGGACACGATCAGTTGATCCAACTGTTGATTGACAAAGGATCAACTGTTAACACTTGTTCAACTACCGGTGTAACTCCACTTCATACCGCAGCATTAAATGGTCATAAGAACGTTGCAGAACTTTTGATATCAAACAATGCTGACGTGAATGCAGTGGATAAAAATCGATGGACTACTATTCATTTTGCAGCTCAAAATGGACACGATCAGTTGATCCAACTGTTGATTGACAAAGGATCCACTGTTAACACTTGTTCAACTACCGGTAGAACTCCACTTCATACCGCAGCATCAAATGGTCATAAGAGGGTTGCAGAACTCTTGATATCAAACAATGCTGACGTGAATGCAGTGGATGAAAAACAATGGACTGCTATTCATTTTGCAGCTCAAAATGGACACGATCAGTTGATCCAACTGTTGATTGACCAAGGATCCACTGTTAACACTTGTTCAACTACCGGTAGAACTCCACTTCATACCGCAGTATTCAATGGTCATAAGAACGTTGCAGAACTCTTGATATCAAACAATGCTGACGTGAATGCAGTGAATGAAAAACAATGGACTGCTATTCATTTTGCAGCTCAAAATGAACACGATCAGTTGATCCAACTGTTGATTGACCAAGGATCCACTGTTAACACTTGTTCTACTACCGGTGTAACTCCACTTCATATCGCAGCATCAAATGGTCATAAGAACGTTGCAGAACTCTTGATATCAAACAATGCTGACGTGAATGCAGTGGATGAGGATCAATGGACTGCTATTCATTTTGCAGCTCAAAATGGACACTATCAGTTGATCCAACTGTTGATTGACAAAGGATCCACTGTTAACACTTGTTCAACTACCGGTAGAACTGCACTTCATAGCGCAGCACGGAATGGTCATAAGAACGTTGCAGAACTCTTGATATCAAACAATGCTGACGTGAATGCAGTGAATGAAAAACAATGGACTGCTATTCATTTTGCAGCTCAAAATGGACACGATCAGTTGATCCAACTGTTGATTGACCAAGGATCCACTGTTAACACTTGTTCAACTACCGGTTATACTCCACTTCATATCGCAGCATCAAATGGTCATAAGAACGTTGCAGAACTCTTGATATCAAACAATGCTGACGTGAATGCAGTGGATAAATATCAACAGACTCCTTTGAAGTTAGCTGCTCAAAATGGACACGATCAGTTAATCCAACTGTTTATTGACAAGGGAGCCACACATTCCGGATCGAACGTTCGACTTTTTTCACTTTATGACAAGGACAGGGCACTGTAAACATACATACTGGCTAATTAAAAAGACCGCAAAACACATATATAGGTTAAGTTATTGCTCCTTATTTGCTGTATATTGTCCTTTAAAAATAAAATACTATATCACTCGGAAGGCTATGCAGGATGGAAATAAAAGCTATCACCAATGCACGCCTCGGTAACATAATAAATCGTGGATAATGGTAACCCTATTCGTTTTCAATCGCGATCAATTGTAACAACCAAAAACAAATAATCACACTTTTGTGCTGCAAATGCCCCTTCCTAAAAAAAAATACAACCCAAAGAGAGAGTCATTATCCTTTGTAAATACAAATGCTCCATTAATTACTCAGAGCTAGCAGCCACATTTTCTACCATTTTAAAAGCGTAAATGCTCCAATATTTCTTAGAAAGGCTCAATCAATTCAGCTAAGTACACTATTTGTATGTGGCTGTTTTTACGGGAAATGCTCCCTAAATCCAGAACAAATGCTCATTTACTATTTTTCAACACGATGGGCTGGTCATCCATAATTAAGGGCGATGAATGGAATCCATCAATTCAATCATATCATATCGTATCATAATCATCAATCGCATCAGACTTTTATCTTTCAATAATTTCACATAACAGTAATTCAAAATCTTTCCCATTCATCTTCGAGGTGCATGCTTAAGGTATATTTATGAGCAATAATTCTACAGAAAAGTGTGTGGGTTTCGTAGCACCTATTGAATTGTTCTTCTTGCTTGCTACTATTTTTCCTGATTTGATCGCTTATTTGATTTAATTTGATGAGTTCAAAATATACTAATCTATTTTTAGTTAAGTTAAAATAGGCTGACATAATAAAATTTGTGTTTCCAATTGAAATAAAAAAAATATATATATGTACAGTTAAAATTGTGTAAATGGCTAAAGAGAACATGCTTTCATACATATGCGGTGAGACTATTGTGAAGATTTTTTGTTTGTTTAAAAACTTTTAAGAAGGGTGTAATTTTATAATAAAAAAATGTTTTTAACTGATCAACGAAAAAATGTTTTGTATTGGTTGTTTCAGCAACATGTGTGCCAATTCTGGCGCTTTTATTTTAACAATATAAAGAAAGAAAAAACATTAACAACTCTTGATTGTATTTTTGATGTAACTTATTAGCACGCCGAAGTTGAGCTGAATTGACGCACCAGCCAACTTGCTGTTATGGTGTGTGGTCTGTGGAACTTCCACATGCCATTACTTGAATACACCTTAATAGGAACGTATAACCATAGCTGGTACGATTGCAATACCTAAGTAAGGAAGGAAAATATGGAGTGAAAATTGGAAACCTGAAATGTAAATTTAGTCATTAGAACAAATGTTCTTCTCACAAGATACTCCTCCCTTTACTGCGCGTCGAGCCAATCTCTTTCACTAGTCATTCTTCTTCATGAAAATGAAGAGACACGTCACATGTCGTAACTTTTATCATCTCATTTAGTGATGAAGAGTCACACGATTTTCTGAAAAGGAGGAATGTCAAATATTTAAGATTTTCTTGTTAAATGCTTGCATGATTTTCTTAACGAAATTTACAGCAAACGTTAAAAAAAAACAAGTCCGGGAGCAGATCTCTTAATTCACGTAACATCTTAAAAATTACCGTACCCTGCGCTGTTGAACTCGTTCAATCTCTAACCAGTGCTTTTGAGACGAGTTTTGGGCTTGTGTTTGCCTCCGGGCGAAGGTGGTAGACTCTTTGCTTCACAGTAGCGACCAATATATGGTGGCACAAGTTTGCTTTGAAGAATTCAATGCATGTGCAGTTCCATTTTAGGTTGCTTTCATCCGTGATTTGAATGCGGAAAACTGTTCCGATTTCTTTCGCGAACTGCTCAATGGACATGAATTTGGGATTGCAGAATCTAGCAATATCTTGTACGGTCAGATCCGTGCGTCCTCTGCCCGGCAAAAATCTCGCCGGATCGCCATATGCCTCTATTGTATCACAAATCTTCTCCTTGAAGGTACCGAGTGGCTCCTTCTTTCGGTGAAGATAGTTGTGTTTTATCGACTTGTTGTTCGTCGACGGTACATCTGGAGAATGCGTGCCTCGTGCCATCCGGAAAAGCTAGAATTACCAACGTTCTTACGGAAGAACACTAGCAATTCCTTATTGTTGCTGTACTTTTCGAAAAATAGCTCGACAGCTTTCACATAATGCTTCTGAGTAGGAGCAACCTGTATTTGCAGATGTTCCGAAGTTTTTTTTTATCCTTATGGGATCAGGATGCCTTTCGGTAACATCAGCTGGTATCAATGGTGGAGATGTGGTTGTCCTTAACTCCTGACTTGGATTCGCGTATCGTTCCCATGCACCACTAGCAGGCCAAGTTTTCCTGAGTTACCTCCGCCTGACGCAACGCTTATTACAGACTTGGTGTGGTCAGTAACACCAGAGACATTCGGATCAGCTGTAGAATCGTCATCATCGTCATTGTCGTCATCTGGTGTCGATTGCTGTATGATAGAATAACACAAAACAGATTAGTCATATGTCATGTCTGCCATGCACACTGCAATCTGGTTGGTAAACCGCTGCTACAGTTTTACCATCCGACAGCTGTACGGATCAGTCTTCCTAATCTCAATTTACCTGCGTACTAGCTTTTAAAATGCGAAATGCACAGGTAGACAGAGGTTGGGGAGACGCCACTGAATGATTATTAAAAAAAAATGAAATGCTACTCACATACAACGGCGTGCAACTTGACTCCTATCTGCACCGTTTAGGTTCAGCTATTCGTGGTTCTGCTCCGAATCGTCAACTATCTCGCCTCCCGGATTGCCACGGGTTCTAGGCCGGCGAACAACGATACTACCACTGCCAGGGCGGGGCAGGTTCTACTGCTCATGATTCTGCTCTGATGTGTTGACTGTGTTGACCATCTTGTCTCCCGTATTGGCAGTCGTACTTTGCCGCAGTACGACAGTATGTTCGGAACAGTTCCTCACCAGTCCTTCCGGATGTGCAGGTGCCCGGGTTAGCGATGATCTACACAGCTGTGAGAAAAGGCATTAAGTTCAGGAAAAATAATGAAAACAAAAAACAAACAGTAAACGAAAAAAAAAACCTTTCTTTTTCTTGAGAAGAAATCGTTGCACGGCTTCCCTACTTCTTTGTTTTTGCTCCTCTGTTGCTGGTATTAGAACAGACTCGAAAAAAAATTGATCACTTTTGAAGACGCGCAACGATACGTGAAATGCCGCTGCCAAAAGGAAAATGGTAGGAGCAAGAGCAAGTGACGCAAACAACAATGGTGAATTTTGCATTGGGCGATACTGCATCGATATCGACGATATCGATAATTCAAACGATCTTCGCTATAACACGCTTGTAACTCCTAAACTTGTCTAAAAATATTCGATTACATATCATTATTGTGGGAAAAAATAATACAAGACAACAGAGGAATTTCCATCACACTCCACTATTCCAAAATAAAAAAATATTATTATATCATTAAAAAAAATGATTAAAATTTAATCAAAAATGATCAAAAAAAAAGAATGAAAAATGATTGGAATTTATTCAAAAGAGATAAATTTAAACTTAATCAACTATGATTAAACTGGGTTTTATATCAGATTAATATTTTTTAACAAGAGATAATTAATTTTTAATCATTCAGCATGATTAAACTGAGGTTATTGTCAAATTTATTAAATTTTAAGTAAAATAAGAATAGCTTAATTTATAAGTGCAGGATTTTGATCTGATCTGTCTCGCGAACGGTTTGCCATACATAATCTACAAAGTCCATAAATCATGTCATGCTTTTAGGAGAGAGAGAGAGAGAGAGAGTGTTTTTAAAACTGTGACGAGTCATACAAAACAAATCAATGGTACATACAAAAAACGAGGGAAATTGTGCCAAATCTGCGAGACGTAAAGCTGGGTTTAGATTAGGCAAGTCAAATGATCAACTCAGTTGAATTCAATTGGCTTGAAAAGTTGAGCCTGGTTCAACTTTTTTTCAATTCAAGTGAGTTGAGCAAGTCAGTTGAATGGCATGGTTTACACGTTCAATTCGCGTTCAAGTCAGTTGAATTCAACTGACTTGATCAATTGACTTGCCCTGTCTAAACCCAGCTTAATTGCTGTAACTTCTTCTGTTTGAATGTATTTCGATCCAGTAGATCAAATCAACTGTAGTCGAGGACAATTTGGAGAACCTAAAACATATGTTGTGGCATATGCATGGCAATAACTTGTGTATGATTCTTTATTTTTTTATGATTTGACAACTAAAAATGTTATGTTCGTATTAGATATGAAAAAAAGCAATCATGAAATTTTCGCCAAAGAATCATTGGTCTGAGTCCAAAGAATTTCCGTGTAAAGCTGGAACCGAATTTTCGACATGTCCAACAAGTATGACTTAGCATATTTTTTTTAAAAAAAATGCTGGCTTGAATTGGTAAAAAACTAAGAAAACCACAGTCCAATGAACAACAAAACATCAACAACATGTTGACACTTTCTATCAACGTTGTTTTCAATTATTTCACTAACCGTAACGGTTCGCGTGTACTCACCCATGATTGTGACGGTCAAGACATCGTCCAGCCGAAAGCAATGGAATCATCCACTTGGCCCATTGGTATTCTGTTTCGCGAGTTCAAAGACCTCAGCTCCTTCAGGGCGGGGTTTTGGATTTCCGTAGAGGACGGCATCCAATTCGGCTACCCACCGGTTTTGGATGGAAAATTCCAGTGGGGTACGCGTGTACATTGTTGTCCGGGCCTATCATCGTAGAACACAGTGGAATCCTCTCCGTGCGTCGTGCGGTGGGGTGACTTCTTGGAAATTCAACAAAAATTTAATATAATAACTAAATCCTACCTTTCAACCCTTTTTGCATCTTCACCTTTCAACCGAACGCTCAAAAAGCATGGATTTTCCGCTTTACTACACGCTAACTTGAAAGTACCCATTAATTGTTGAAAAAGACCCATTTTGAAGAAAAGTGGCTTAACTCATTAAATGAGTAAATTTTTTACCCATTAATGAGTATCTGTTACCCATTAATGAGTAATTGTTAATCATTAATGGGTACCAGATACTCATTAATGGGTAAAATTGTTTAATCATTAATGAGTTAAGCCACTTTTCTTCAAAATGGGTATTTTTTTACTCATTAATGAGTACTTTCAAGTTAGCGTGTAGTCTTGATCAACTTCTCCATCGAACGACTTTTTCTGCACCGATCCCTTAGTCAATATCACCATTTTCACATCAGGGAACACAAAGCACAAGTAAGGTTTTGCGCAGTGCGGTATATTGGCGTTGACAGCAACTCTGTAGCTCTTTACTCCTATGATAAAATCCATAAGCAAACGTCAGACTGTGCGTGAAACATGGTGCACTTCGTGCTATCTTTTCAGTCCACTGAAAATTCCCATAAGAAACTGTCAAGCTTTGCTAGAACAGAGCGGTGCCGTCAACGCCAATAAACCGAACGACCGAAGACTCGAAGAGAAAATTAACAAACGTCAACTCAGAGCTGCCAGGTGGTTTTATAAAAAATCTGTATCCACTCTATTAAAAAATCTGTATTTTCTGTATTGACGATTTTTTTCTTAATTAATCATGTTTTGTTGTTTAACAAATACAGTGCATACAAAATAACCATAAAAAGTGCTTAACCACCTATTCGGGCTATCGTACTAACCATACGGGATATAATTGCGCCATTTGTGATATCGTCCGTACTTATTTATAAGAGGGATAAGAAGCCGTTTGAAAATGTATGGAGATTTTAGTTTCTATTCATTATCTTCCTGATAAGCAGTTTTAAATGCAAAAAAGTGCACGAGTTCATTACTATTTGATGTTTTTAATATAGATGAATACAATTAATTACATCATTTGTGTGGTAGTTACACCGAAAAGTCGAGAGATGTCGCCCCGCCAGTGCTGGTAAAATCATTTTTGCAGTATGGAGAATATCAGAAAATCCGCAATTTCTTACGAAATACATTTTCAATGCGAAACTACCGTGACGGGCGTGACTGCGTTTTCCGTTGGAGGGAGTGAGAGAAGCATAAAAGAAACAGCAACGCCTCGAGCAGATCTGGTTTTTAGCACAACAATTAATTTTGGAGAGAAGGGGGTACGCTGATAAAATCGAGCAAGTTATTTTGTTTTTATAAATTTTGAATTTTTTTTTCTCAAGCATTTTATAAAAATCTGTATAAATCTGTATTGTTATTTAAAAATCTATGATAAATCTGTATTCTGTATCGGGTCTGTATTAAGATTAAAAAATCTGTATAATACAGATAAATCTGTATAAATGGCAGCGCTGGTCAACATGATTACTAACGGCAGGGCTGCGTTGGAAGTTGCAGCGCACGATTAATCAGGAATACTCATTTTAGAAGTATAAAGAAACGCACTTTTGAGAATATCGGTTTTATGGTAAAAATAATGTGCTGCGTATTTCAATGAAATTAACAATTATCATGTTAAATTATTTTTCGTAAAATGCGTTATTTCTAAGAGTGCTTTAGAAACATAATGAAAAGGTTTGACAGAAACGGAATTTAAATATAATTTGATTTTTTTTTTAAATTATAAAATGCAAATAACAGTTACATTGAAATAGTGTTTTGCATTTTGATTCAAATAAGAAGTGATAGTGGAAATGGCTCTAATGTTGGCCTACGGATCTAAGATTGGGCCCATCGCTTAAAATCTACTATTTATCAATTTTATCTAGATGAATGCGTCATTGGGACGGTACTTATGGATATTTTTGGTCGCCATTGAAAATTTAGTCGATTGTTGAATTTATGTATGGGCCCAAATTAGGAGCATGTAGGCCGACATTTCCATTCCCCCTATACTAAATTTATTTATAAAATTACCAAAGCAATGTTATATTTTTGTGGCATGTTACCAATTTATTTTCTCCAAAATGCTTAGCGGAGAAAGAAAGGAGTGCACGTTAGTTTATAATTACTGACGGGGTGATTTGATCCCACTCACTTATGTCCGATGCAAGGTGACTATATATAGGTGTTTTAATGTGTTAAATTCATGATTAAGCCAGCTGTCGCTCTGGTGATCCAGGGGTGTGTTCGCATGCATTGACGGCCCACATCTCCTTTATCGGGCAACACCTTCCCCACACACATGAACTGCTGCTTGTACTGCTTCAGTCCACAGGAGCATATTCACACCCGATTCGTCCAACATTACCCGCGCGCGTTCGAGGATCGTTCTGTTCATACGTTCCACGAAACCGTTTTGTTGGGGATTATACGGCACACTTGGTTCCAAAACGATTCCCATTTCACTGCAGTACGTTTTGAATTCTTCGTTCATATATTCGCCTCCATTATCACAACGCAGTCTGGCGAGTTTCCGTTCGAAATGTGACGTCGCCATCGCAGCATACTTTTTGTATGCTTCCACCACATCACTCTTCGCTTTCAACGTATACACTGCCGTAAAGTGCGTGTAATCGTCAATAAAAGTTACAAAAATCTTCTTTCCGTCCAAAGACTCCGGCTTGAACGGACCACACACGTCCGTATGTACTAACTCCAGCGGACGCGCCGAACGAGGTCTGTCGCACTCTTCGAAAGGCAACTTCGCTTGTTTGCCCATCATACAGTATTCACACACCCTCAAATTACTTGTGCGATGAACACTATCATCAATTCCATCGACCATGCCACTTCGGATCAGTTTCAGCAAACCAGCATTACCAATGTGGCCAAATCTACGATGCCACAGTGATAATTTGCTTTCTGATTCACTCACCATCGCAGACGACACTTTCATCACTTGGACGTTTAGTTCGTACAACCGACCTTTGCGATCCGCGGTACACACAATGTTTCCGTTTCTCGAGATTCGCACACTGTCTTTACCGAATAAGACTTCCATTCCGTGTTCCGCTACTCATTTAACGGAGAAAAAATTGGTATATAGACCAGGAACAAACAAAGCATCGTACACTGTGCAACTCAGCTGTTTTTCGGTCACTTCCGCGCTCATTTTGACGTCACAAGCGAAACGACTAATCAGTGACACACCTGACTTAGCAACATTGATTACGGTTGATACCTCAAGCTTCCGAACGTTCACAAGACAGCCCTTGTTATTCTCCATATGCTCTGAAGCACCACTATCGAGCACCCACCAGAACTCATTATCAACAGTTTGCAGAGCGTCTTGCTCCACACTCACACTGAAAGCAACATCGTCACTTTCTGCTTCAGCACTGTGCGCTCCAGAGTTGTTCTTCTTCTTCTTCGTCTTCTTTCGTTCTTCAGTAGCACGATTCGACCACTTGCTTTCAGGGCAATTCCGCAGGTGTGGCACTTGATGGGGAATTTTCCGCTCCTTCCAGCAAAAGCCGCTCCCGGTTCCAGCTCTTTGCCAGCACTTCCACTATACTGGCGCTTCACGTCCTCACTGAGAAGCCTCGCTTTAACGAACTCTATGGAGCACTGCTCTACCGTCTCCAGTACGGTAATCAAATGTTCGTACGA